TAAGGTCTCTTGCAATTTGCGACAGAGAAATGGCTTTTTCCAACATTGCATTTAATTGTGGTGCAAGTAATTTCTGGAAATTTTCAGGTGGAGGGAGTTTTGACAGAGACTTGTTCCTGTCTTCATCTGACAGCCCTGATTGCAAAATGCTTTCCCACCGTGGCACCAAATTACCATTAATTTTTGGCCCATGCACAATGGTGGGTGCCTCATTAGGTCCTAAGATGTCCAACACATCTTCACTTAGGGCCGCCGCTGAACCTTGGGCGGCCTCCCCTTCGAAAATAATGTTATCTAAAACAACGCCTTGTGTTAAAACTCAGAGGCACACAAAGCTGGCAAAAACAAAAAATGTTGTCAAATGTTTTCGCACATAGAAACCTTACTATGTTAACGAGAGTTCAAAAACTCACTGCTTGAGCTTAAAAATAAGCCTAGCGTCCAAAAAAATTTTGAGCGTTCATTAGCTCAGTAAATCATGTTTCATAGATTCATTACTATGAAGAAGAGTGCTCAACGACTCTTAATGAACATACCCTGTATGTTCTTAATCCTACTGTAACAAAAGTAGAGATTCTTCGAGTGCTCAATGACTCGGATAAATAAAGGTAATAAAGCAAAGCCCCTTACCTGCCATTGAAACGTCCTCTGCTACTGCGTCGCTCGAAATCGGAGAGTCTCGACTGCGACGGACCTCACTAATGCGGATGGGAAATCCGCAGCGTGAGCGTGAACGAGAGCGAGAACGAGAAAGGGAGCGAGACCGTCGGTGACGAATAGGCGACGGACTGGCAGCCGCAGGAGACGAGCTTCTGGACGATGACGAAGACGAAAGTAAACGTCGACTTCTACGTCGCCGCCCCCGACCTTCAATTCCTTTAACTCGCCTCTCCAAATCCTCCAACACCTTCAGGATCCTGCCACTCTTCCCCTTAGGACTCCGTGCCCTAATACGACGAAACCCCGGCATAACCAAAACACTGCGCAAAGAACAAAAAAAGGAACGAACGGAAAAAAAATTTTCCAGACGTGCGAACGTACTGACACACAAACAAAGAATGAAGTCAGCGGGCAAGCGGCTGATGGATGGTTACGGGCGGGGGACCCATTTATTTTTTTCCTTTTTGCTTGCTTAGCTTTTAAATGTGTGATACTTGACGCCAAGCGAAGTTACTACATGTCAGTTATTTTCGAGACGAGGGAGAAATATAATAAGCAAAATTTTTTATGCATTCCTCTCATCGACATTAGTATACTAATACATTGTTAAAATATTCCGAGATCTCCCCGAGATATAGATAAACGTCATTCGTTGTTGAACACCCGGTATTAGCAGGACTTTGTCTCAAAATTTAATTAACAAATTTGAACATTCTGCACACTCGGCTTTAACATATAGTCCGTATTTAATGCGTTGCAAGTGCAGCATTACCATTTGAAAAATGCGTAAAATTTGCTCCACAAATAAGAAAGTTGGTTCAGTGACCTATTTATCTAATACCGTGTGAATTATGCGTAATGATGATGTTCACGCACCCGACGCTTTCTGCACTATTGAGCGGAGATTTTTTTCTTTCTGAAAATTAAATTTTATTTCTTTCGTATTTCCGTTTCAAGAATCACCCGAAATATAAACTTGGTTCTGGGCCTGGATTTTATTATACTTCGGTTCGTAGTACGAAAATTTCACTTGGCTTTACGATGCCCGAAAAATAGCAACTTTCTCGTGCCACTCCTTTTAGTCCCAAATCCAATCTCCCGAAAAAATACGTGTTTTCGCAGTACCGGTAACGTTTCCGTAGCTCAAAACAGAATGCCCGAAAAATCTCTCTCTAACTTAATCCCTACCTGTCTTGAGAAATAATTAACGCCCCTTTCAAAATGACGTGTAGTTAAGTGAAAAGTGATAATAGGAACATGTTGGTCAAGGTCAGCTCGTTGCTCAGCACCATCTTTAATACTATTCCGTACGTCCTGGAGAAGGACCAAAGTTGCAGTTAACTTTTGGGGATAGTAGAACGGGTCCCAGTATTGATCCCTGAGGGACACCAGTCATCTTCCTGGATAAGTTACACTTGAAATATTGCGTCCTGGCATCCCCTTTCAGAAATCGATACCCCGATCGCTAGAATTAGATCAGATATCTTAGTTTTCTAGACTAGATTTCATGTGAAACAGAATTAACGTTTTAGTGAACTCTACAAACGTGACTAGTGGCGACCTCTAAGGCAATTCTGCCAAAAAAGCTAGCAGCTTGAGGCGTTCCGGGAAAACTCCAGTACTAATGGTCAAATTAATAAGGATGATCCGTATACAGTGTGTCCACTTAAGTTCTCAGCACATGGGACACTTTTTATCGCATTTTTTAAGAATTAAAAACAAGTATAAATTGTACACAACTCTTGTGCAGATAAAGCGCATTTTTTAACAGAAATAGCTTTTGTTTTGACATCACCAATGGATATATTTTTTCCAGACGTCCCAATCGCCCTTTGTGAGTACCCTCTTCCGACAATCCGTTCTTGAGGTATAAGGGAATATACCCGATCACGTAAATAGGTCTGAGGAGGAGGGCTAGGTTGGTAGAAATTAGTTCCTTCGTTGAGACCTTCATTAGAGTACCATGAATAGTTTCTAACTCCCCCCCCCCCGGCTCTGTCGCTCGACAAGAAGCAACAATATCTTAATGCGTCTCACTCGTTAGCGTTTGTTTTTGTGAATTTTTAAACTGTGGTTGCCTTGACGATGACCTTTAGGGTTATTCCAAGGTTAACTTCAAAATTCTGAATGGGGCTCGGATATTAATAAGACGGGAAAACGCGGTCCGATTCCCAACTATGGATGTCCTGATCGGCTCGAAAATAATTTCAGATCGACTCGTAGCCGAATTAAGCTCGGATTCAAAACAATGGAATACAACAGAAAACTGAAGGTTAAAAAACTTTAATCGCCCCCCCCCCCCCCCGACCCCGTCGCTCACTGATCTCGAAAAAGAGTCGCACGGGACAGTTATAGTTTGTAAAAACCAATTTATTTCAATGAGACCTTTCATTAGAATACCATAAAGGGTAGAACATGTGTTTACCCCCCTCCCCCTCCTTTTCTAAAGTTTAACTTGGCTAAAAATGTGCTATTTGCGTTTTGTCCGTCCGGACCCACTTCTGCCGTTTTGAACTACTTCTAGGGGAATGGTCTTAGAACCCTGCAATTTTCTGCAGTAGGTAGCCTATATCTTGAAGTTAGCAGTCTAATAGCCCCCCCCCCCCCCCCACGAATTATTTCCTGAGATGCTGAAAGTAAAACGTCCATAACTTTTACATATGACAACCAATTAGTCTCCGATTTTGCATACGCATGCCTTTAGTGGTGCCAAGTGAAACTTTAGAAAATGAGGCTGGGGGGAGGTAAACGCAGGTTCTACCCTTCATGGTATTCTAATGAAAGGTCTCATCGAAATAAATTGGTTTGTACAAACTTTCTCGTGCGACTCTTTTTCGAGATCACTGAGCGACGGAGCTTGAGGGAGGGGGGAGGGGGGGTTAATGTGATTCTACATTGTATTCTAATGAAAGATCTGAACGAAAGGAACCGTTTTCTACCAACTACCACCCTTCTTTCTGTCCTCTTATCAAAGTACGGGGCCGAGGAAAAGGGGGGGGGGGGAGCGGAACTAGTTTTATCCTTCATGGTACTCTAATGAAAGGTCTCAACGAAAGGAATTAATTTCTATCAACCATAACCCTCTTCCTCGACCTCTTACCGTGATCGGGTATATTCCCTTATACCTCAAGAACGGATTGTCGGAAGAGGGTACTCACAAAGGGCGATTGAGACGTCTGCAAGAAATATATCCATTGGTGATGTTAGACGTAATTAATCTCATTTTCCCAATATTTGAGGTTAGGAACGAGATTTTGAAAAACGGTTTTCACTGGCCTCTTTGGGTATTATTTGGCTACTTTTTCATAAAGAAAAAGTCATATCATTCCATTTGATTTTTTTAGGATTTTGGATCATAGTGTCAAAATTAGCCACCTGGCGGAGAAGGATTCAACTAAATTAACTATATTTTGGTTGATTTTCATTGCCCAAGGAATGCTCTTTTCAACCATACTAAACTTATTTAAATCGGTCAAACGGTTAAGAAGTTAAAGCAGGTTATTGCAAAAACAATTGAACGCCCCACGCCATCTTTGTTTTTGAAATAACTGAATTTTTGTTTTTACGAAAATGATAGATAAACTGGTTCTCTTTAAAAATGTGAAAAAAATCTTTTGTTTATTTTGCGACATTTAAAGAAAGTGCAATTTAAAAATTTAAGATGGCAGTTACGCCCTCTGTTGGTCAATTTTAGAACTTGAAAATATTTTTCAGCTATTATTCATGACCGATTTACCCAATAATTTCTTTTACTCCTAAGTCATACGACGAACGGTTCCCGAGATATGGCCGAGGAACAGTCTTATTGGGTCACCCGGTACATGATAATTTGATTCGAGCCTACTATGAGACTTATGTCCTAATCGGGCGCCACTAAATAGTGCCGGTTCCCAAAGAATGCAAAAGCGATGAATGAAATTAATGCTATTCACAAAATTCGCATTAACATACATTTGAATTAAAAAACGCGACACGTAAATTAGATGGATTAATCTACTTCTGCTTTTAAAGTAACGATATCCCAATGGAATTTTTGAATCTTATTTGTTTAACGCTTATCACTGAATTTTTGATATCGTTTATTAATTTATTGCCCTCCGTTCGTAGAATAATCCGGGACAATAACCTCTCATTCGCTTTCATTCTCGGACGTTCTTCGAAAAGTACACCCTGTATATCAAATACATCTCGGTACGGCCGATAAAAGATTACGATACGAATTACACGTGAAGGTTGTTGGCGGGGGGGAGTTGGCTCGACAGGGGCGTATTTGTTTAATTACAAATTGTTGATAGACGCTAATCGGTCGGTTAAAATAAACAGCGAACGTGTGTACCTAGGCGGCTTTTATCAGTAGTGAGAAGTGCGCGTATTTACGTTCGGTGATGTCACATTTCTCCACTCGCGCCATAATAAAATTTAAATCCGCATACGTCTCTGTCGGATTATAATAAAGCCGGTCCCGCCTCTCCGCGTCGCCCGCAACGGTTTTCAACAACCAGTCGTTTGAAATCGTGTGTACGTTGTCAAGGTAGTCGTTTACGCTTGCACTTCGACGGGTAGTTGTTGTTTACGTTCGATTTGCCTTCGAGTTTTTATTTATTTCGTGATCGGGGGACGTTTTTCACTCGAAAGCGATTATGTGGCCAGTGCGTGGAACGTGAGTGCATCGAGTGTCGACAATCGAACCGGTTTTGTATAATTTTCCCTTTACGCACAATTTTCAGATAAACTCATTAAATACCTACACGAAATTAATAAAGCTTTGTTTACACAATCAATTCAGATAAGATTAAATGCGGTTGTACTTTTAAAGTAGACGGGCTCTCATTAGCGCGAATGAATGGACGTTCCACTTAGGGACGTTTTGTGCTTTCTAAAAAGAGAAGAATTAAACAGCGGCGTGTTCGTCATAAATACTAAATTTGTACGTAGAAGAGACAAAACCTAGTAGCCTACTTGCCGGTTTTAAATAACATTCCGAGAACTTGCACAAATAAGAGGAGCGATTTGCGGAATCTCCAGAATAAGAGATTTTTTTTTGTCGGTCGGTTTCCCGTTTCTAAAATACCGCTCGTCAGATACAAAGCGCAATTTAGGTGAAATTACTGTAGTTGGTGTAGGCAACGTCCACGTTTACGTTAAAAAAGAAATGTTAGTCTCAATGACGGTCCCTATAAGTTACGTGTTGACTTAGGTTTAGGTCCGATTGCACCACGTATTTTTAAATCCCGTCCATTGATGACATGATGACTATTAAATCTAATTTTGTATTCAATTCGTGGAACATATAATATGACCTAAGATGAGCTTACAATATCATACAAAGCCACAAAAATTATCAAGACACTCCAAATTGATCATTAACTTTGTAACAGATCACAAAAGCTTTTCAAAAAATCATGCTACACGTAAGAAGCGCTTCTGCAAAAAAGACCCCTTACAGGTCTAAAAGGATGAGGCCGCTGAAGGTAATCTATACTCTGAAGTTAGGTGTAAGGTAAGTAAAATTGTTAAAAATTAGAACACTTCTACAGGAACAGATTTTTGAAATTTAGAGACTAAAGGAACGAGTCCTACCCTCAAAATACAGGGTTAAAAGTAAAACTCGGGTTAAGACTCGAAATCCGTAAAGTTAGCGCCAGCGTGAAGTTAGCCCCCCAATATTAAAATATTGAAACGTCCTCGAAAACGTCAAATACTTCGAATCCGAGATATTCATGGTGTGATGAAACTCAAATACTTTCTTCGTTTGCACATTTAGGCCCACTTCGATTTTCCGTTTGCACATTTTTCTAAAAATTGATATTGAAAAAACAAATTGGGGGGAGGGGGGGATCAACTTCACGATTTTAGCCCCCCCAACATTAAAATAATGAAACGTCAAATACTTCCTTCGTTTGCACATTTAGGCACACTTCGATTTTTCGTTTGTACATTTCTCTAAAAAAAGATATTGAAAAAACAAATTTGTGGGGGGGTGGGAGGTCAACTTTACGATTTTAGCCCCCCAACATTAAAAAAATGAAGTCAAATACTTCCTTCGTTTGCACATTGATTGCACATTTAGGCACACTTCGATTTTTCGTTTACATATCTCTCTAAAAAATGATAATGAAAAAACAAATTTGGGGGGTCAACTTCAGGATTTTAGCCCCACAACATTAAAATAATGAAATGTCAAATACTTCCTTCGTTTGCACATTGATTGCACAAAATTAGGCACACTTCGCTTGCATAGTTTTCGAAAAAAAGATAAAAAACAAATTGGGGAGGGGGTCAACTTCACGATTTTAGCCCCCCCCCCCCCCAACAGTAAAATAATGAAACGTCAAATACTTCCTTCGTTTGCACATTGATTGCACAAAATTAGGCACACTTCGATTTTTCGTTTGCACATTTTTCTAAAAAAAATACCGAAAAAACAAATTTGGGGGGAGGGGGTCAACTTCACGATTTTAACCCCCCAACATTGAAATAATGAAACGTGAAATACTTCCGGCGTTTGCACATTATCGATTTTTCGTTTGTACATTTCTCTAAAAAAATATATAATAAAACAAATTGGGGGAGGGGGGGAGGTCAACTGCACAATTGTAGCGCCCCCTCGCCAATATTACAATAATGAAACGAGAAATACTTCCTTCGTTTGCACATTTAGGCGCCCTACGATTTTTCGTTTGCACATATCTCTGAAAAAAGATATCGAAAACCAAAAATTGGGGGGGTGGGGACTTCACGATTTTACCCCCCCCCCCCCCCTCCAACATTAAAATAATGAAACGTGAAATACTGCTTTCGTTTGGACATTTCTCTAAAAAAGATATTGAAAAAACAAATTTGGGGAGGGGGGCAAATTCACGATTTTAGCCCCCCAACATTAAAATAATGGAACGCGATGCACTTCCTTCGTTTGCATATTTACTGCACATGTAGGCACACTTCGATTTTTAGTTTGTACATTTCTCTGAAAAAAGATATTGAAAAACAAATGGGGGGGGGGGGCCAACTTTAAGATTTTAGCCCCCCAACATTAAAATAATGAAACGTCAAATAGTTCCTTGGTTTGCACATTGATTGCACATTTAGGCACACTTCGATTTTTCATTGGCACATTTCTCTAAAAAAAGATATTGAAAAAACAAATTTGGGGAGGGGGGCAAATTCACGATTTTAACCCCTCAACATTAAATTAATGGAACGCGATGCACTTCCTTCGTTTGCATATTTACTGCACATGTAGGCACACTTCGATTTTTAGTTTGTACATTTCTCTGAAAAAAGATATTGAAAAACAAATGGGGGGGGGGGGCCAACTTTAAGATTTTAGCCCCCCAACATTAAAATAATGAAACGTCAAATAGTTCCTTGGTTTGCACATTGATTGCACATTTAGGCACACTTCGATTTTTCATTGGCACATTTCTCTAAAAAAAGATATTGAAAAAACAAATTTGGGGAGGGGGGGGTCAACTTTAAGATTTTAGCCCCCCAACATTAAAATAATGAAACGTCAAATAGTTCCTTCGTTTGCACATTGATTGCACATTTAGGCACACTTCGATTTTTCGTTGGCACATTTCTCTAAAAAAAGATATTGAAAAAACAAATTTGGGGGGTCAACTTCAGGATTTTAGCCCCACAACATTAAAATAATGAAATGTCAAATACTTCCTTCCTTTGCACATTGATTGCACAAAATTAGACACACTTCGCTTGCATAGTTTTCGAAAAAAAAGATAAAAAAACAAATTGGGGAGGGGGTCAACTTCACGATTTTAGCCCCCCCAACAGTAAAATAATGAAACGTCAAATACTTCCTTCGTTTGCACATTGATTGCACATTTAGGCACACTTCGATTTCTCGTTTGCACATTTCTCTAAAAAATGATACTGAAAAACCAAATTTGGGGGGGGGGGGGGCTTTACGATTTTAGCCCTCCAACATTAAAATAATGAAACGTCAAATACTTTCTTCGTTTGCACTTTTTTTTAGGCACACTTCGATATTTCGTTTGCACATTTCTCTAAAAAAAGATATCGAAAAAATGTGGGGGGGGACTTTACGATTTTAGCCCCCCCCCCCCCAATACAAATGGGGGGGGGCACTTCACGATTTTAGCCCCCCAACATTAAAGTAATGAAACGTCAAATACTTCCTTCGTTTGCACATTGATTGCACATTTAGGCACACTTCGATTTTTCGTTTGTACATATCTCTGAAAAAATATATTGAAAAAACAAATTTGGGGGAGGGGGGCAACTCCACAATTTTAGCCCCCCAACATTAAAATAATGAAACGTGAAATACTTCCTTCATTTGCACATTTCACTAAAACAGATATTGAAAATACAAATTTGAGGGGGGGGGGGCGCAAATTGACGATTTTAACCCCCCAACATTAAATTAATGGAACGCGATGTACCTACTTCCTTCGTTTGCATATTAACTGCACATGTAGGCACACCTCAATTTTTACTTTCTTCATATTCCGTGGATTTACTTTTTACTTTTTTTTGGATGATTTGGATTTTCTGTATTCTTCGGATTAAGATCTCCACATTCTTTGGGCTCTTTAGGGACCTCGGCTTCTTCAGATTCTTCTTTTTCTAATCACTCCTCGGTTTTTTTCGATTCCGGGGATTTCATCGGATTTCTTACATGCTTTGTTTTTATTTCATTCTTTGGATTCTTCACATTTTTTTTACATTTTTCAGGTTCTGTATAGTCTCCATCGAGGTCTCCATGTTCTTCAGATCCTTCGGTTTTTCGGGCGCAATAGATTTTTTATATTCTTCCGGTTCATTAACGACTTGATTGATAGATTTTTTCCCTATTTTTCGAATCCGTCGGTTTCTTCAGATTCCGTGGATTTAATTCTTCGGATTCTTCACCTTGTGTGTGGGTCTTCAAATTCTTTATATCCTTAACGTTTTTCAGAACCTTCGGATTTTTAAATTGTTTCGATTCGTCGGATTTCTCAGATTTTCCAAATTGTTCAGTGTTTTTTGGGAACTTCGGGTTCTCCGGATTTTTCGAATCAATCGGATTCTGTGGTTCTTTTTCAGTTTCTTCCAATTCCGTAAATTAAATCAGATTTTTCGGATGCTGTGAATTCTTTGTAAGTATTCTTTGGATTCTTCACATTGTTGAGGTTCTTTAGGACTTCGCTTCGATATTCTTCAGGTTCTTTAAAGACTTGATTATGGGATTTTTCTGCCGATTTTTCGGATCCTTCGGTTTTCGTCGATTTCCTCGATTTTTGGATTCCTCGGATTTTTCAGGTTTTTCAAAATTTTCAAATTCGTCCGATACTGCATATCCAGTAGGTAACGGGCGATCGAAAATGAGTTGCTGTCGAGTAGCCTTTGGAAGTTCAAGTTAAGTACGATTTCCCATGTAAACAATAATTCCAAAGGTAACTCGACAGCAACTCATTTTTGATCGCATAGTACTTATCTTAAAATTGATCGCCTTTTTCGGAATCTGCGGATCTTTGGAATCCTTCTGATTCTTCAGTTTCTTTAGAGACTTCGGATTTCTCAAATTCTTGGGATTTTTCGAATGATTCGGACTCTTCGGTTTTTTAGATTTTTCATTTTTTGCGGATTTAATTAGATTTTTCGGAATCTTCGAATTCTTCATATTCTTCTTCAAAACCTTCAGATTCTTTAGATTTTTTAAATTCATCGGATTGCTCAGATTTTTGAACTTTTTAGTACTTCGGGTTATTCAGTTTCTTCGATCGAAGGGGTTGATAACGGAGTGGCCGATTGTGCCGATCGGCAAACTGGATAACCAATCGGCGCATAGAAGAAATTCAGTTTTAGTTTAGGCGCGTTTGAATTCAAAGAAAGTAAAATTCAAGAAAGTGGGATACGAGTTCATTCAAATTCTGACGTGACGTGTTTAATTAATAGCGCGGTGTAGGTAGATTATATCAGATTCGCAAATTAAAGATTCGGGTCTTAGAACAATTGTACATTAATTTTTAATTGCGCGAATGTAGGTCACGTAACAAATTCCATTACCTGGCAAGCGTTAACTTGTAGGTCAACTTGTAAAAAGTAATTTATTATTGTATTTTCGCTCGATTTTGTGTATGATCGAGCCCTCCCGTAGGTGTCTTAATGAGTTTATTGCTTACGCCAGGTGAACGATTTTCAAAACCTGTCGATCCAGTATCCTAAAATGGTTACCGGCGAAACGTTGTCGATCCAGGTTTATATATTGACCCTTTTAAGGACACTCTCTTGAGTAGTAGTGTATCGCGAGACTGAGCCTCTTAATTTGCCGACTGATCCGAACTAAGTGCCAAAAAAAAAAACGAAATGATTAAGATGAAGAATATCAAAGCGATTTTTCGTAGAGGACAAACGCAGGCGTCCTCGAAAAGTGAACCGGGACAATTGCGGGAGGATCTAACCCGATGCTCCTCCGCGACGAACTTGGCGGAGACGAAGAGTAAGGGCGCGTTTTCCAAGTTGAGAAAATCGGCCTCGAAGGACAAACTAGACAAGTTGACCGAGAAGAAGGGCGAGAGAGGTAAGATCGTGGCGGCGATGTGCGGTGTTAATTTTGATCGATTTAGATGTCGCGAGCAACAACAACAAGCCGAACGGTGGCGGCGACGTCGACGAAACGCTAGAAGTCGAATTTTTGCAAAGACAACTCACGGAAATGGCCAAGGAGAAGTGCGATCTCGTTCTCGAATTGGGCGAGCGCAAGGGCGAACTGCAAATTCTCAAAAATGAAATCGTCAAATTAAAGGTGAGTTTTTCAGGTGGTAAAATTTGAATGCTAATTTATTAAACAAACACTGCCTTGGAACTTGTTAGGTGTTTTAATTAGAGCGCTTGAAAACGGGTAAGTATTCCACGATAATTTCCTAATCGTCTACATCTGGGATTTTTGGACTATAAATGTATTCTATGGAATTTTTTAATATTCCATGATATTGTCTGATATTCTTTGGTATATTTTAATATTCTTTTCACTTTTTGATATTGATAATGTCAAAAAAACGGGGACAACATAAAACAAGTATAAATTGTGCACAACTAATAAAGCGCATTTTTTAAAACCTAAATAGCTTTTGTTTTGACATCACCAATGGATATATTTCTTGCAGACGTCTCAATCGCCCTTTGTGATTACCCTCTTTCAACAATCCGTTTTTGAGGTATAAGGGAATATACCCGATGACGATAAGAGGTCGAGGAGGAGGGCTATGGTTGATAGAAATTAATTCCTTTCGTTGAGACCTTTCATTAGAGTACCATGAAGGATAAAACTAGTTCTACTCCCCTCCCCCTCCACCCCAAGGGCAGTAGTTGGTAGAAAACGGTTCCTTTCGTTGAGACCTTTAATTAGACCAATTTATTTCGATGAGATCTTTAATTAAAAAAAGATATTGAAAAAACAAATTGAGGGGGGGGGGGCAACTTTACGATTTCAGCCCCCCCCCCCCCCCCCGCGCATTGAAATAATGAAACGTGAAATACTTCCTTCGTTTGCACATTGATTGCACAAAATTAGACACACTTCGAGTTTTCATTTGCACATTTTTCTAAAAAAAGATATCGAAAAAACATTTGGGGGATCAACTTCACGATTTTAGCCTCCCAACATTGAAATAATGAAACGTCAAATACTTCCTTTTCACTTTCTTCAAATTCCAGGGATTTACTAAGATTTTTTGGATTCTCTGCATTCTTCGGATTAAGATCTCCACATTCTTTAGGTTCTTTAGGGACCTCGGCTTCTTCAGATTCCTCTTTTTTTAATCACTCTTCGGTTTTTTTCAAATTTGTCGGATTTTTAGATTCCGTGGATCTAATCGAATTTCTTACATGCTTTGATTTTATTTCATTCTTTGGATTCTTCGCACGTTTACATTTTTCAGGTTCTTTAACGACTTGATTCAGATAGATTTTTCCTCGGATTTTTCTCCCTATTTTTCGGTGTCTTCAGATTCCTTTTCAGACGTCTCAATCGCCGTTTGTGCGTACCCTCTTCCGACAATCCGTTCTTGAGGTGTAAGGGAATATACCCGATCACGATAAGAGGTCGTTGAGACCTTTCATTAGAGTACCATGAAGGATAAAACTAGTTCTACTCCCCTCCCCTCCCCCTCCAACCCAAGGGCAGTAGTTGGTAGACAACGGTTCCTTTCGTTGATACCTTTAATTAGAATGCAATGAGAGATAAAATTAATTTTTAACCCCCCCCCCCCCCCCATGTTCTAAAGTTTAACTTGGCACCACTAAAGGCATGCGTATGCAAAATCTGAGACCAATTGGTTGTCGTATGTAAAAGTTCATTCATTAAAAAAAGATATTGAAAAAACAAATTGAGGGGGGTGGGGTCAACTTTACGATTTCAGCCCCCCAACATTGAAATAATGAAACGTGAAATACTTCTTTCGTTTGCACATTTAGGCACACTTCGATTTTTCGTTTGCACATTTTTCTAAAAAAAGATCGAAAAAAACAAATTGTGGGGGGGGGGGGTGTACAAACCAATTTATTTCGATGAGACCTTTCATTAGAATAGCATGAAGGGTAGAACATGTCCCCCCCTCCATTTTTAACTTTGCACCACTAAAGGCATGCGTATGCAAAATCTGTCTGAGACCAATTGGTTGTCGTATGTAAAAGTTATGCACGTTTTACTTTCATTAACAGCATCTCAGGAAATAATTCGTGGGGGGGGGGGGCATTTTTTAAGAATTAAAAAACGTGCTATTGTTTGCGTTTTGTCCGTCCGGGACTACTTCTGCCGTTTCCGACTACTTCTAGGGGATTGGTCTTAGAATTCTGGAATTTTTTTGCAGTAGGTAGTCTATACCTTGAAGGTATGCCAGATGGCCATCAAATTGCGCTGTCTAAAAGGGCCCCCCCACGAATTATTTCCTGAATACTGTAGAAAATGGGGGGGGGGGGGGGTAAACATATTCTCTACCCTTCGGGATATTCTAATGAAAGGTCTCATGGAAATAAATTGGTTTGTACACTATAACTTTCCCGTGCGACTCTTTTTCGAGATCAGTGAGCGACGGGGCCGTTTGGGGGGGTTAAAATTAATTTTATCTCTCATTGTATTCTAATTAAAGGTCTCAACGAAAGGAACCGTTTTCTACCAACTACTGCCCTTGTTTCTGTCCTCTTATCAAAGTACGGGGGAGGGAGGGGGGGGGGGAATGGAACTAGTTTTATCCTTCATGGTACTCTAATGAAAGGTCTCAACGAAAGGAATTAATTTCTACCAACCATAGCCCTCCTCCTCGACCTCTTATCGTGGGTATATTCCCTTATACCTCAAGAACGAGTTGTCGGAAGATGGTACTCACAAAAAGCGATTGAGACATCTACGAGAAGTATATCCATTGGTGATGTCAAAACAAAAGCTATTTCGGTTAAAAAAATGCGCTTTATCTGCACAAGAGTTGTGCACAAATTTATACTTCTTTTATATAGTTATATATCTTATTTTTCAAATTTTTGAAATGGAATGTTTCAAAATCTCTATGAATCCATGGCCTACTATTTAAAAACCGTAAAAATAAGGTTAAAATTAAAAAAATAAATACGTACGTGATACTGCAATGTACTCAGGAAAAAGAATGCCACCCTGTATCTCAGAAACAAACGTAGCTAGATTGATTCTGTTTGGGATATTAAAATTTTCACAAAAAAAAGTGGCAAAGGATAGCGAAAACCGCAAGTCTCTATCTTTAAAAAGAGTTGAGACAGACTGCAGTCTCAAACCAAAATCATATTTGGGAACACCCTGTATATGGTTTTGTTTATATTTAGTTAACTTAACTTAAAACTACTTGACGATTACAGTTTTTTACCTTCAGTTTTCAATTGTATTCCATTGTTTTGAATCCGAGCTCTTTTCGGCTCGGCTCGAAACGAGCAGAGCTACGAGTCGATCTGAACTTATTTTCGAGCCGATCAGGACATCCATAGTTTGGAATCGGACCGCGTTTTTCCGCCTTATTAATTTCCGAGCACCATTCAAAATTTTGAAGTTAACCTTGGAATAACCTTGAATGTCAAGTTCATCGTCAAGGCAACCACAGTTTAAAAATTCACAAAAACCAACGCTAACGAGTGAGACGCATTAAGATATTGTTGCTTCTTGGTATAATCATTCAAATGTTGTTACTTCCCAGTTCTGAGGGCCGATTGAAATATTGCCCCACGTTGGGCGCCAAATAAAAATTGCAATGTGCCATGCCAAACGGTCACCCACACGCACCTGTCCGGCTAGCTCAATTAAACTCAAGTACTGACAAAATTAACATGACCAATTTTGATTATAAAATTTCAAATTTAAATTAAGTTGAATAATCCTTATTATCCGGTCATAATTGCGCTTTTCAACTGACGCACTAACACATAAACCAAACACCAAGCCGATACGTCTCGACGTAACATTAAACTCGATTTAGACGACACTGGGCTTTTTGATGGTGGAAAAACTCCCTTTAGCGGGTACTGGAATGACTTTCGCAGACTCGACTCGACTTCTAACGACGTATAGAAAATTCTGTATACACTCTCTAGCTTTCTTCTATACAACTTTACAATTAAACAAGACTGACCTGTCTCTTCGAGAAGCCTTGATAATGCCAAAACTGACTGTTTTGTTCAAATACTCAAATAAACTGCATCCGTGTTAAAAACTTCGACGATAACACGTCCTTATCTTGAAATTAATTAGCTTACGCAGCGATAAGAACACTTCTTATTTACGACCGGAGATAAAAAGGACATCATTAAATAATTTAATGCGCTTAATCTTAATTTGTAACCACATTTAACGTTAAAATAAAAATTGAAATTCAAATACAGGGTCTTCAAAATTCTAGGATTCGAGTAAATTCACTTTTCCGAAGTTCTTCATTGTGATTGACTTATTTTTTAAACTGAGAGCGGAGTGCGGATTGTCCCGTACGAACCTGATTTAACCCACTGATCCGACTACGCCGTGGAACCAAAAAATTATGATCTGGGCGAAAATTGTTTATCTACTGGTATTTGAATATGAAAATGAGGAATGCTATTCTCGTTGTCAGTCTTAAAATTCATGTTATTTAAGCGCGCTTCCAACAATGCCAAACACGAACCATTTCGGTAAAGTGTGCTGCAACACAATTAATTAACCACGATTAATTATACTCACTTAAATTGCCGGGATGAAATTCCGTAATTCGGTAGTTCAGTTAACACCTATCGTATTCCGGAATTTGGGGATCATGCGACAGAGTTTTATCATTTTTCATTTTAATTTTTTCTGTCGCTTAAAACTCCCTTCCCACTCACGTCCTAATTTGGGTTTTTGATGGTGGAAAAACTCCAAATATTCACTTAACGACGTAAAGAAATTTCTTTAAACACTCTAGGGTACTTTACAATTAAGCAGGGGTGACTGACTCTTCAAGAGGCCTCCATAACATCAACACTGACTGTTTTGCTCAAATACGGTTGCGTTTCAATCTCCACGTTACCAGTCTTAAAAGTCATGTTATTTAAGCGCGCTTCCACCAATACCAAACACGACCCATTTCGATAAAGTTTGCTGCAACACAATGAACTATGGTTAGTTATACTCACTTAAATGACCGGGCTGAAATTCCGAAATTTGGTAGTTCAGTTAACACTTATCGCGTTCCGGAATTTGGGGATCAAGCGACAGATTAAAAATCATACAATCCTATCGGAGAGTTTAATTTAATTTAAGAAATTAATTTCTACCAACCATAGCCCTCCTCCTCGACCTCTTATTGTGAAAAAAATGCGCTTTATCTGCACAGGAGTTGTGCACAATTTATACTTGTTTCTAAACGCACCAAAATTTACTCCAACACGTTGTAGATGTTTCAGGAACAGTCCGTGTTTCGGATCGAACAACTGAGCGACGAAAACACCTCCTTACGTAATCGACTGAGAGACGTCGCTCATTCCCCTCTGTCCGATAACGAGAAGCGACAGCTGTTGCTCGACGCCGAGCGACATAGCTCAGCGCCCGCTTCGATAGCGACAAATGTAAGTGTGAATGTTAATTTTTTTCAAAATCTTTGTCCTCCGACTGAAGGTTGGACTAAAATTTCGCGGTGTACTTAGTGGAATGTTTTAATTACAGTTATTGGACGATGAATCGGGGGATGTCACGTCGTGCCCGACTCCCGATTGGGATAAACATTCCAGTAGTAATGTCAGCGAGGTTTCCGTTGCGTGTCTGCAAGACAAAATTAACCAAATGCAAGAGACCCATTACAGGTAACTATTCGTAACGGAATTGCTCGGTACGATGAAACGGTCGCGTTGTAGCACAAACGAGGAACTTCAAGCGACGCTGCAGGAGCTGACTGACCTGCAGCGGCAACTGACCGAACTACAGCAGGACAACGAGCGGCTGTCCGACGAGAAAAATCTAATGTTCGATTCGTTATGTCGACAAACCGAGAGGCTCAACGACGCGAGGACCGAGGTCGAATCCCTAAAGCAGTTGCTCTACCGAGAGAAGGACGAGAGCGGGCAGTTCGAGAGTATCGTCGATCGCGAGCAGAAACTAGTTGCCCTGCTTAAGAGCGCGCAGGAGGAACGCGAAACGCTTCTGCTTAAGCAGGAACAACTGGCGAACGAACTGCAAGACGCGCGCGCCTCGAACGTCGAACACGCCGCCGAAATCGAACAGTTAACCGAACGAGTGCGAACCTTGGAAAGCACATTGGACGCGAAACACGCCGAACACAAGCAGATCGATCAGGAGCTCGCGCTCGCCAAGGATCAGTGCAGCGGTCGCCAGATCGAGATCAACCGTTTGACCGACCTGCTCGAGAACGCGCGCACGAAAATCAACGAGCTGGAGCAGGAACGTGCGCTGAACGACAAGTCCGAACTGGACGAGCTGTTGGACAACGCGCGAAAGGAGAAGGACGGGTTGGAATCGGAGGTGGCCCACTTGAAGGAGCAGCTCGCGAGGAGTCGCAACGAGATCGAAAAGTTCCGCGAGCAGGTTTCCATTCTGCAGGAGGAGTGTAAGGTGACCCGAAACAACGCAAAGTGCACCCAATCGGAGTTGGAGTACAAGTGCGAGAGGCTAACGGCCGAAAAGGCAAGCGTCAACGACCAACTGCAGCAATTGCAGGAGGCGGCGAACGAGCTACAGGTAAGCCCAACCTCGCCGTCGCCCATTTAACACCGCGCGATTTACTTTAGGTGCAAGCGCAATGTCAGGTGGAGGACAAGCGCCAATTGTCCACGGTACTATCGGAAACACAGCGTAATCTCAGCGAGGCGGAGCGGCGCAACAACGATCTCGATCGCGAAATCGACGAACTGCAGAGGATACGAAAGGAGGAGGTGAGCGACCGCCGTTTGTTTTTCGAGTCTACATCCGTACATTTCAGAACGAGGAGTGGGAGAAATTCCAAAACGATCTTTTAACCTCGGTTAGAGTCGCTAACGACTTTAAGAGTGAGGCGCAGCAGGAATTACAAAAAATGATTATGGAAAATAAGGCGCATCGGGAACGGATTCGACAGCTCGAGTCGCAAGTGGACAAACTGAAAGGTATGTAAATGCAGATACGAGGTGTCTCTGAATATGTGTAGGTTTTAATTCTCAGTGCGTCTGGTAAGTCATATAATTTGTTTACATGATGACATACCCCTACGGTTAGGCAACACACCCCACAGCTGAAAGAATATCACAATGAAAAAAATCAAATGCTCTGTATATATAGTAATCGTGACTGTATTTATTCCTTTCTCATCTTGTTCCCGTCGCCGGACCGTGTGTAAGCATCACGAGAAGGGGGTTCCTCTAATAAACTTGTCTTCTGTTTAGTATGTGGCTCTGTTTCTATTATAATCGACTTTATCTTTAATACTCGTTCCATTCTGACCTGCACTTTTTTGTGTTAAATTATCGGTATAAGATGCCGGAGCAGAACCATGCTATTTTAAAAAAATTTTTTTTTAAGTTTAGGTACACGCAATTTATTATTTTGCGAGTTCTATGTATTTTTGTACCAAATTGATTTATCTTGTTTACGATGTGTATTTATTATGTCATTTTATTAATTTGAATGTTACTCGATTATCTGGTTTTTATTGTCGAGATGTTTGATTTGTGTATTTCTCTTGTATTCTGTTGCCGTAGTTGATTTATTTCTCGTATCTGTGCGTTATGCCAGGTTTTTTCTTGTTTGGCTCTTTTTTGCTGTCTTTTTGGTTTGGATTTGCTCTGTGAAACCAAGCCTTGTGTGTGATAAATTTTATTTTTTCCCATGCTTGCCTAAAACTCAGTTCAATTCCCTTCTCGACTGTGTCTCACGTCTTAACACATGAAATCGTCATAGTGTAACACAAGATTGGAGTCCTATTTGTACCACCCAGTCCGAATCGACTTACCGAGCTTTGAAAGTGGCGCGAGACCTCTGTCAATCTGACATGAAACTTTGGATTTGAATTTTTTTCCTTCAGCATTGTCAACTGTAAGTATAGGGTAAGTAAAGATTGCAGTGCAGGATCCCAAACATCATCACAATATTTATGTCGAAATCAACTTGCTCATCAAGTACGTTTTGTGCTGAGAATATACATATGAAATTAAAACTCTTAGATGCAGCGTTTCCGAGCTCAAAAGGGTGCCAAAATCTGCAATCAGATATAAACAGAAAATATAGTTAATTTTGTTGAATCTTTCTCCGCCAGGGGGATAGTTTTGACACTATGACTCAAAATCCTAAAAAAATCAAATGGAATATGACTTTTTCTTTATGAAAAAGTAGCCAAATAACATCCAAAGAGGCCAGTGAAAACCGTTTTTCAAAATCTTGTTCCTAACTTCAAATATTGGGAAAATGAGATTAATTAATTAATTAATTAAAATGCTTAGATTGTATCTTATTTGACGTATTTCCGGTATTTGTCGACGGCGCGAAAGAAAAGCAGCCTATACTTTTAGGTAGGCCTTGGAAAATTAAACAAATGAAACACGATGCATTATAAAATAATAACAGCCGTAATTTGTAAATTATTCTGCTGTCTTTACATTCAGAAAGTGCAGTTTTTTGAATTTGTAATCTTTTCTAAAATACCGATTTCTAGCCAAGAAGCATTTAATATGCTGGCGATATATTTTGAGTATTTTCAAAATGCGACCATCGCTTCCTGCATCTTCTATTTGCGTTATCCGAATTGACCACGAACCATCGCCGTGGAGTAACTTTCTTACTATTAAAGGTAAAGAATTGGTTAAATGGACAACGTTTTGCAGTTTTTGATGCTTATTTAAAATTTCCTTGTGGAAATTCAAAATGTCGAATAGGTTCGACGTAAGTTCAAACAAACTAAAATTGGTCATTTGCTTTAATGTCTTATATCATCGAAAGTATAAGAGATATAAAAAAAAGTTTCATATAAAAGTTACTGTCTTTGATACGCTCCATTTAGAATTGATGTAAAAAAAAAATTCAAGATGGCTGCTTTTGAGAAACATTTATTAACTTCCTAAAGTTAAATAGGTGCCATACTGGATTTTTGGATTATTGGATAGATTTTTTAATTCTCTTTTCAATGAGCTATCATAGCATAAGATTGAAAATAAGATACCAGTTATATTAACGGTTTTTATATTTTAATCAAGTAGGCTATGATGAATTTAAAAAAAAAAACAAAACAAAATCTATTCGAGGTAACACAACAATGCTACATCACATGTTTAAAATACTGGCCATTATTAGTTAAACACACTTCAAGACAGTTTACTTTAGGCCACGTGTTGCCATGGATACTATAACACTGCTTTAGAATTGTGTTATTATTACCTATTAGTATAGTAGCTACTTTCATATTCTTTAATGTACAATGTTACGGATAAACCACCTACAAAATGTGACCTGGGACAATGCATCAATCGTACGCCTCTGATTTTTAAACATCTTATGTAATTATTTTCATAGTTTTGTTGCCTCGAATAGATTTTGTTTTGTTTTGTTTTAATACATCATAGCCTACTTGATTAAAATATAAAAACCGTTGATATAACTGCTATCTTATTTTCAATCTTATACTATGATAGCTCGTGAGAATTAAAAAATCTATCAAATAATCCAAATGGCGCCTATTTAACTTTAGGCAGTTGGTAAATATTCCTCAAAGGTAGCCATCTTGAATTATTTTTTGACATCAATTTTAAATTAGGCGTATCAAAGACAGTAGCTTTTATATAACACTTTTTATATCTCTTGTACTTTCGATGATATAAGACATTAAAGGAAATGACCAATTTTAGTTTTTTTGAATTTACGTCGAACCTATGCGACATTTTGAATTTCCATAAGAAAATTTTAAATAAGCATCCAAAACTGCAAAACATTGCCCATTTAACCAATTCTCTATCTTTAATAATAAGAAAGTTACCCATGCAATCCCACTTGATCTGGGACACACTGTATATGTAAACAATTGCTTCTTCTAAGTATAACCAGGAGGTGTGAAACTCGATTTGTGTATAATTAAAGAACTTTGCATTTCAATCGATCAGATTGCTCCATTCTGTCAGTCAACTGATCTGAGGTTAAACCATTGTGGTGCAACCGGTCCATAGATACCGCTCCGTGCTCCACGTTGGGCGCCAAAAAATCGCAAACACCTGTTCAGCTAGCTCAATTAGACTGGGGTATTAGGGCCTCCAGCCTCCGACACGACCAAAATCTTGACGTAAATGTTATTAATTTAAAAAATCAGCAGTCTTAACTAAGAAATTGCTAATTAACATCTGATATAATTCCGCGTACAAAATAGAAAATTTAACTTTGGGCTCGATTAATCACAGAACCAAACAGATGAAACAAATTATTTGACATAAAACAATCAACGCAAACAAGCGATCGATAGACAATCTCCGGTCAATGGCCAATTTCTTTCGAACTGACGCACAAGCACCAAACGGTAATACTTTGGAACTTCCCTTCTTTAATTGCACTCCTGTTCATGTTACGACACTGACTTCGTTGCGTTGACAATTATAATATTGGCCCTTTTAACACGACTTTCTTCTACAACGTGATAACTGGCTTCGCACACATAACGCCCACCACACAACAACAACAACGAAAGGCTAAAGGCAACAGACGAGAAAGCCTTGTTTTAACAACTTTTCTTTTCGCCTCTCTTTCCTTAACAAAATGCTACGTTTTCGAAAAAATCAAACCGCACTTCCGTTTTCTTATCAGCGCTAATACGCCCTTATCTTGAAACTAATTAACTTTGCAGCGATAAGAAAACTTCTTATCTATGACTGGAGAACAACATGCAAATGCCACACAAATAATTTCCAGACGTTCCCAACACGATTTCCACAAAAATTAAAAAAAAGGCGCTATCGTGGCAACTGTCCGTCCGTCCGCTCGTTCGTTGAGACGCTACTAGTTCTTTGTCTTAAGAGCTATTGTTCTACTTTTTTCGCTATTTGGTTCGTTATGGTGTCGAGGCTTGCACCAAGGAAAGAATGCGTTTATTGCTAAACAAGTTATTGTAAAAAAAAACAAAAAACCGTTTTTTGCATGTTCCATAATTTTACACTTTTGCCGTTTATTAACGATCCTAGAGATCGTTTATAATTTTGTATTGCTGTCTGTCGTCCGTGTGTTCCTTTGTTTGTCTGTCCATGTATCTGTCCGTATGAACGATAACTTTGTTTAGAAATGTCCGATCGCTTTGACATCTCCGTTAGTTATGAACTGAATCGCATGAAATTCAATATGGGCATAGATTTAGCCATATAATTCGCAATGCCAAAAGTTTAGTCGAATCGATTCAAATTTCTCAGTGCCCTTTTTGGCATCTTGACCATTTATAAACCGAATTGCAAACTTTTTTAATTATAACAGTATTTGAATGAAATTTGATACATAGGCACTTGGGATAAAGGAAAATCAAACGCCAGTTTCAAAATTTAGGTTTGCGCATGCGCAGTGCCAACTTTTTATTTATGAAAGCATTTAAACGAAATTTGATCCATAAGCGCTTGGAATAAAGGAAAATTGAACGCCAGTTTCAAAATTTGGTTTTTGCGCATGCGCAGCGCCAACTTTTTTTATTTATGGAGGCATTATAGGCACTTGGGATAAAGGAAAATCAAACGCCGGTTTCAAAATTGGTTTTTGCGCATGCGCATTGCAACTTTTTTATTTATGGAGATATTATAGGCACTTAGAATAAAGGAAAATCAAACGCCAGTTTCAAAATTGGTTTTTGCGCGTGCGCAGTGTAACTTTTTTTATTTATGGCGGCATTATAGGCACTTAGAATAAAGGGAAATCAAACGCCGGTTTCAAAATTGGTTTTTGCGCATGCGCAGCGCAACTTTTTTTATTTATGGAGGCATTATAGGCACTTAGAATAAAGGAAAATCAAACGCCAGTTGCAAAATTGTTTTTGCGCATGCGCAGTGTCAACTTTCTTATTTATACGCATTGAAATGAAATTCTTCTTATAAACTGAAGTTGAAGTAGGACATCAAAAATTAATTGCACATATGCAACGCCATCTTTCATATTTGTGACCGGATTTTTACGATTTTAATAGAAGTTGCATCTTACAAATGGGAAATGAATGCAAGTGGAAATGCGCTTTTTCTAAATCGTTTACGATTACTTTTTTTAACTTGTTATTTTTCCTTTTCTAACGTTATATTTTTACTAACATAGATCACGCTCAACCAGTAAATGTCACTGAGACAGATGATACTGTTAAACGTGAAAACGCCATTCCTGTAATTGAAAGCGCGCCACGACCGCAAAATTTACACTCACGAAGCGATTCGATCGTGTCCGAGCAGCTACTGATGCCTGATCAGACACACGTACCAAAAGTGAAGAATGAGCCAATAGTTGAACCGATTCTAGAGAAGGTGAAAGCTAAATTGGGGATAAGAAAGCGACTGGATAGTCCCACGCGAATCGCCGGCGGGAGCGATGAACATTTCGTATCCAATCAAACGGTCGTTCTGAAGGTGAAGGGGGCCGATGTGAAGCCCGTCGGTGGCAATTCGGTTACGTTCGAAACGCTCGACGAATTGTACGAGAAAATAAACATGGACAAACCGGACGATCAGTTCACCAAAGAAGAGAAGTTTGTAATAAAATTAAAGCATTCGCTCGACGAAATGGGCCGCAAAAATACATTAAAACGAAGCGTGATGAAAAAGAAGAAAAAGCTCCTCATCAGCGAGCCGATTTTTACGTCCGTCTTCTCAAACCAAAAGCTAGTGTCGTACCTAAGCGATCCCAGCATCAAGACTGTTCCGGAGTTGTCGTCCCGTAACTCGATCGACAGCAGCTCGCTCGACGATTTCCTAAACAGCCTAATGAAGATTCCCCGGCCGTCGCTTACGGCGCCGCCGCGTCGCGCGGTATTTTACGACGACATCGCCGACGTCTTCGCGGATTTAAACTCCGAGGGGTCATCGGTTTTCAGTCGACCGACCTCGAACGTCAACATGAAGTCCTTCTCGAGGCCGGATTTGCGCGAAGTCGATTTGAAGGTGAGCGAATTCGCTAAGGCGCAATCGTTTGACGATGTCGACGAAGCGGCGGCGGGAAGAAAACCAATTCCGATGCCGCGCAGCAAGAGCTACGTAGAAGGCTTGTCAATTGACACTCCGACAGAGACATTTGGCAACTGTCAAGTCCAAATTTCCAGTAAGATGAGCGAATTGGAAATTGCCACGTCCGAGCCCGACCTCCCGAAGGGCACTTTGACACAAACAGATTCGGTGATAATTATCGATCCGAAGGTGGAGCACGGAGAAGGTCCCGGTACCTTGCCGAATCCCTGCCTGAAAATGGTGGGTCGCAGTCCGGACAGTGCCAGCATCGGGGGGAAACATGTGGAGGGCGCAATTTCGCCCGCCTCTTCTCACATGCAGACGTTGGATAGCGAAAGCACCTTCCATAACGCCCGAAGAAAGTTCGAAAGCCTAATTCAGACCAGTAATTTTAGGAGCGAAGTTATGAAAAAAGTTACTCTTAGAAATTTAAGTAAAAGTACTTAGGAAACTGTACGACGATATTAATAAAGTAGTTATATTTCTTTACCTTTGAATATTGACACGGCCACGGACGTAAGGTAACGAAGTACTTTTGCGTGTTGTCTGTTATATTGTGTGCTTGTGGGAAAACGGATACGCTACTTTGTCACGTTCCCGCTTTAAACGCATTGTTTCTTTGTAAATTACTAATTTTTATGTGTTCATTTTCAGTGAGCGAACCCGTACTACGACCGGAGAGCTTTTCGAACGACGACATGGCCACTCGAAGACAGAAGGTGGGTTTAAATCGACAAAACAGTCGGCAATCGGTCAAGTCGCTAATCGAAAGTATCGAAAACGCCGCGAAGCCCCCTTTGAAAATAGGTAAGTCGGAAACTTAATTCTGCATTTGTTTAACAACATAAATCAAAGAAAACACAAGAAATGGGGAGAGTGACATTTAATTAAAACGGTAATAACAAAGACAATCACATCCAAATTCAATTCAGGGTTTCCCTCTCGTAATCACACGAGAGTAGCTCTAGGGACTTTATTGATTACAAGGAAGGAAATTGGCTACTGACAATCTGCTTTACTTCTTTTCCAATTTGTATTTTACAATTTCATTATAATAGTAACAAGGACTTACAGTACGAAGAATACACATAATAGGCGCCTGTGTTTTGCTAGAACATAACTTGGTCCCGTTATATAATACAGGGTTAGAAATGTTATATTTGCATACAAAGTAGAGTTTCGAGACGCATCTTATGCTATAACGGGGGTCTCGCTGGTGCACCTCGTGTGGATCGTGACCTTGAAAAATTGTTTAACAACATAAAACAAAGAAATCACAAGAAATGGAGAGAATGGCATTTAATTAAAACGTTAATAACAAAGACAATCACATCCACATTCAATTCAGGGTTTCCCTCTCATAATCACACGAGAGTAGCTCTAGGGACTTAATTAATTACAAGGAAGGAAATTGGCTACTCACAATCTTCTTTACTTTACTTTACTTTCTTCAATTTGTATTTTACAATTTCATTAAAATAGTAACAAGGACTTACAGTACGAAGAATACACATAATAGGCGCCTGCATTTTGCTAGGACATAACTTGTCTCATTATATAATACAGGGTTAAAAATGTTTCCAGACAAAGTAGAGTTTCGCAAAATGGAAGGATCCAAGATCTGACAATTGAAGTGAACGGGGGTCTCGCTGGTGCACCTTGTGTGGATCGTGCCCTTGAAAGGTGTAGATTCATGGGAATGGATTTACTTGGAAAACTGAACGTCAATCTTGCTAACTGCTTTTACTCTCACCCTCGTAAATGTCGCTGTCCGTTATTTCTACCACAGTGGTGTCCCTGATACAGTCCTGTTCGAACAAGTGCGGCTCTCAAACCTGCGTCAGTTTGCGCAACATTCCAAAAAGGGATCAGCAGTCCTCAGATCGTTTTTTCAGCACACGACCTACTGTAGAAGGTATTTCCCGTTGATGAAGAGATTTGAAGATACATATTATTGTCAGCTTATTATGAATCCGCCCTGGAATCCGCTGTCAGAATTGCAAAATTCAAAATGGCGGATTTAATATGACGTCGTATTTAGCGAAAAATTTGAATTTTTAAAGGAATGATTTGTACAAAGCCGCTCATTACGACCCCTATGTCAGAATTACGACTTCAAAATGGCGGAACCAATATGGCGTCGTACGCTAAAAGTTGAATGTTTAAGGAAATCATTTGCAATTTCGTACTGTGGAGTTTTTGGGGTCGCTGATTACGAATCCTCTGTCAAAATTGCAAAATTCAAAATGGCGGATCTAATATGAAGTCATATTTAGCGAAAAATTTGAATTTTTAAAAGAATGATTGTACAAAGCCGCTGATTACGACCCCTATGTCAGAATTACGACTTCAAAATGGCGGAACCAATATGGCGTAGTATGCTAAAAGTTGAATTAAATTAAAGAAATCATATGCAATTTCGTACTGTGGAGTTTTTGGGGTCGCTGATTACGAATCCTCTGTCAGAATTGCAAAATTCAAAATGGCGGATCTAATATGATGTCGTATTTTGCGGAAAATTTGAATTTTTAAAGGAATGATTGTACAATGCCGCTGATTACGACCCCTATGTCAGAATTACGACTTCAAAATGGCGGAACCAATATAGCGTCGTATGCTAAAAGTTGAATGTTTAAGGAAATCATTTGCAATGTCGCACTGTGGGTTTTTAGGGTCGCTGATTACGAATCCGCTGTCAGAATTGCAAAATTCAAAATTGCGGATCTAATATGGCGTCGGATTATGCGAAAAATTTGAATCTTTAAAGGAATGATTTGTACAAAGCGGCTGATTACGACCCCTATGTCAGAATTACGACTTCAAAAATGGCGGAACCAATATGGCGTCGTACGATAAAAGTTGAATGTTTAAGGAAATCATTTGCAATTTGGTCCTGTGGAGTTTTTGGGGTCGCTGATTACTAATCCGCTGTCAGAATTGCAAAATTCAAAATGGCGGATCTAATATGACGTCGTATTTTGCGAAAAATTGGCATTTTTAAAGGAATGATTTGTACAAAGCCGCTGATTACGACTCCTATGTCAGAATTATGACTTCAAAATGGCGCAACCAATATGGCGTCGTATGCTAAAAGCTGAATGTTTAAGGAAATCATTTGCAATTTCGTACTGTGGAGTTTTTGGGCTCGCTGATTACGAATCCGCTGGCAGAATTGCAAATTTCAAAATGGCGGATATAATATGACGTATTTTGGGAAAAATTTGAATTTTTAAAGGAATGATTTGTACAAAGCCGCTGATTACGACCCCTATGTCAGAATTACGAGTTCAAAATGGCGGAACCAATATGGCGTCGTACGCTAAAAGTTGAATGTTTAAGGAAATCATTTGCAATTTCGTACTGTGGAGTTTTTGGGGTCGCTGATTACGAATCCGCTGTGAGAATTGCAAAATTCTAAATGGCGGATCTAATATGACGTCGTATTTTGCGAAAAATTTGAATTTTTAAAGGAATGATTTGTACAAAGCCGCTGATTACGACCCCTATGTCAGAATTACGAGTTCAAAATGGCGGAACCAATATGGCGTCGTACGCTAAAAGTTGAATGTTTAAGGAAATCATTTGCAATTTCGTACTGTGGAGTTTTTGGGGTCGCTGATTACGAATCCGCTGTCAGAATTGCAAAATTCAAAATGGCGGATCTAATATGACGTCATATTTTACGAAAAAATTGCATTTTTAAAGAAATGATTTGTACCAAGTCACTGATTATGACCCCTGTGTCAGAATTACGACTTCAAAATGGCGGAACCAATATGGCGTCGTATGCTAAAAGTTGAATGTTTAGGGAAATCATATGCAATTTCGTACTGTGGAGTTTTTGGGGTCGCTGATTACGAATCCGCTGTGAGAATTGCAAAATTCTAAATGGCGGATCTAATATGACGTCGTATTTTGCGAAAAATTTGAATTTTTAAAGGAATGATTTGTACAAAGCCGCTGATTACGACCCCTATGTCAGAATTACGACTTCAAAATGGCGGAACCAATATGGCGTCGTATGCTAAAAGTTGAATGTTTAAGGAAATCATTTGCACTTTCGTACTGTGTAGTTTTTGGGGTCGCTGATCACAAATCTGCTGTCAGAATTGCAAAATTAAAAATGGCGGATCTAATATGGCCTCGTATTTTACGAAAAATTTGAATTTTTAAAGGAATGATTTGCACAAAACCTCCCGAAATTTTAAATAATTTTTTGAAACAATTCAATTTTGATCATTTGAATTTTAAAATGTTTTTTGAATTTTTCCCTTTTTATCCTTTTTTAAAAAGGTGTGTTATATTTTTGACAAGATAATTTCATATGCCTTAAAAAATGAGGTTAGATTCGATAACTTTTACCCGACTCCGTATATTTATTCTGAAAACGGGAGATTAAACGGTCATTATGAAGAAACGTTTGTCATAAACACTTTTGAATCTCTTTTAACTAAAAAAAATATAGGGTGAGTCTAAAATTGGCCACTCTTTGATTACCTTATGAAGGTGGCGAAAACCCCTTACAGAATTTTCACCAAAATAGGTTCCCAGATCTCAGATAGAATACTTCTCAAATTTCAATTCAATGGCAGTAAAATTGCCGCCACTCTTATTGAGGTAACATGTGAGTTTTTTTATATGCACGACATAGGTAGAAGCCAAGAAATGTGATGTTTCACAATGTATAGGGTTGACAATATTACCTCCATGTCAGTAAGCTACTGTTTACTTACGGACTCGTTGACTCGTAGTGGCTCCTCAGGTTATTAACTTGTTGAATAAAACTTTTGTTTTGCTTTGCCTGTATAAACCTATTACGTATTACATGGTAATTAAATAATGTGGTATAATCCAAAATTGGGAACATTGTGCTCAGATAAAGCGCCAAATTTGAATATCCTCTCATGATCAAAATTGATACGTTACCTGAATTATACCTTCAAATCAATAAATACTATAAAATGCAGGTGGTCTGTTTTATTTATGATGCAAACGTTATAAGTTTCAAGTTAATGAAACAACTAATTTTCGAATCCTAATTTTTTAATGTGTTTTAATTTTAACTATAAGCAGACCGTCTCTTAGCTGTAGAGTTATGTTAGTCCTTCGTTGTGTTTTAGGTTTAACAAGCGCATCGAGGAGTAGTTCAAACTCGTCGCTTAACTCACTTACGACCGACGCAAAAACTCCAACAAGTCCGTCCACTAACACCTCGCCTTTACGCACTCCTCTAGACTGGTGCGATCCGATCGGCCAAGTTAAGGCGCCATTACGAGAGCAGCAGCCCAATAAACAGGCGCGTGATTGGTCAAAGACAATTCTCAATGGTAACGGACCCGTTAAATCCTCCAATCGTAACCTTCAAATTGTAGACTCGCTAGCGAAAGTCGATAAAACAAAGATGAACAGCAAGGACGACAATATCAGGGAGTCGATTTTGCAGACGGCGAAAGGTATCGACTTCAATCGGCGCAACAGTTACTCGGACCTGTGCGATCGTAAGGATCCGCTAAACGGGCTGGTTAAAAATGGCGGATCGAAGCGCAACGCGCTTTTGAAATGGTGCCAAAACAAGACTGTCGGCTACCGAAACATCGACATCACGAACTTCAGCAGTTCGTGGAACGACGGCCTTGCGCTCTGTGCCATTTTACACTCCTACTTGCCGGACCGGATACCTTACGATACGTTAGTACCTCAAGAAAAACGCCGCAACTTTTCGATCGCTTTCGCC